AACAAATTATAACCAGCTCCTTGCTCACTGAAGAAAAATGTACTGTATTATAGATAAATCAACAGATGAGGCTAAGATGCATGACATTATCATTCTATTAGAAGGGAAAATTGTGCATCATTTTACCCTTTGAAAAGTACTCAGTACAGCTCTAAAGCTATATGATGGAATGAATATAGCAGTGCAAATATTAACAGTGAGACAGCCTAGCACAAAGGCTGTAAGAAGCACTACAGCCCAAAAAGACTGTCGAAAGTGTCAGGATGGCAAAAATGGAAGAAATTTTTGATTTGAACTTTGTGCCCAGCTCAGACTGGGGGAAGTTCTTGTGTCTGAAACCTTCAACCACTTTCTCAGGTTCTTTGTGTTCAGGCTCTCTCACACCAGCCATGCATCACAGAAACAACCAACTACAAACATTTCCAGCTCACTAACATTTGTCTCAGCCATTCAGCTGTTTCTGCCAGGATCCTCCTCCCCCTTTACACCCTGTGAATCAATTCTCCTTGCAGTAGCACTGACACAGGCTGATGTTGCCGTTTGGAGTTGTTTTTTTCCCCAAAAATGAGTTAATCATCACTGCTTTAAGCAGCATTGAGCTGACCTGCCTTTCTAGATGCAAGAATCTTTCTTCCCTCTGCATGGCAAAACTGTGCAGAGCCACTCAGTCCCTTTCCTCTCAGCTTTGCTTTCCCAGAACATCCCAGGAGAACATGTGACAAAGAGATGAAACCAAATTTTTATCACTGAAGGGAAGAAGAGACATTTATTTCTACAACCTGGCTCTGATCCCTGGCTGAAATCTATAAATGACTTAGATCACTTGAGGATCCAGACATTGGGTGAGATCTCTGAGAGACTTCAGTGCACCTGAAATGTGTGCTGTGCCTCAGGACGGACTGAGCCAGTGGGCTCTGGAGCCAGCATTGCCTGCAGGACCTCCACTAGTCTGTTCTTTCAGTACCTTACTCCCTGCTCCTCAGTGCACATCCCAACCCCTCCATCCCTCTGACCGTGGGTTTCCATTCAGTTGCATCACTGGCCCATGCTTTTGAGTCTAAGGTGGGGAGATGTTAAAATTCAAGAGCTCCCCTCCCCTAGTTGTACAGCGCAGAGGCTAAATATGTTCCTTCCTAAGGAACCCTCTTGGCTGACCCCTTGTACAGCTACTGCAGTCATTCTTCCTTTATGCCATCAGCAAGGCACTGGCTTTCTTTCTCCCCAAGTTTACATTCCCAGTTAAATTCTAAGTAGACAACCAACCTTGTTTAAGCAAAGACTGATGCTTGGTGACCTCCCTGAATCATCTTGGGAAGACAGATAAGGTGAAGATGGCTTCTTGCTCCCTTAACAAGAAATCTCTCTCTAAAATCAGCACTGCAATGGATTGCAGTACAAATCTTACTTTTCAGCTAGGAAAAAAGTATCTGTCTGTATATAGAAGAAAACTTGATCAGATCAGCTCACGGTAGTACTGTCCCCTGCAGCCCACAGATATGATATAAAAGGGATGGCAGAAGAAAAATACACGTATTGGATCATTTAGTGAGAGTTGTAAGTGGTCTACTTCCTTATCACTCACTACCTCTGCTAATTTATAAAACTTGAGAGTTACCTACCATGCACTGCCACTGTAAACCTAGAATATTTCGCAACAAGAGGAATAGAAATAGGTCAAAGCCTCTAAAAACACATTAGCTACTCAGATGGAACAGTCTCAGGAGAGAGATGATGCCATTGAACAGTTGTCACAGATGGAGACTCAAGTTTTCAGAAGCAATTTGGGATTAGCTTATAGGTGCCTGAAGAAGGAGGTTAGAAAGAGAAATTGAAAATTGATGTTAGGAAGACGTGGAATAAAAGCCAAAGCTTCACGTTAAGAGATGGAGCCATGCCAGACTGCTAAACAAAATAAAGAAAACAAAAGATGGCCACTCAAAAGCAAGAGAGCATTTCACATTCCTCTAATGTGGCAATGGAGGAAGTCTTTCAGAAAATTAAAAAAATCATTTTTGTACGTGGACTGATTCATTATCAAATATGGAAAAAAATTGTATCTGTCTATATTTTTATTGTTATGCAGCCACATTAATTTCAGCAGAAGAGGTAATCTAAATCCTTTGGGAAACATTATCCTCTTGATATGAGCACATAACTCAGATTAATAGGATTTGCATATGTATAGTAGTAAGGAAAATAACCCTGAGTTTGGAAAACAGCTTTGTATTTTAAACGGATTGGGAAGACCAACAGAAATATATACTGGGGACAAATAATTGAACAGCATTTTTAACTCATGCTAGGTGATAATTGTGAGTTAATTGAGCAGTATTTAGAAATGAGCAAAATAAGCTAGGGTATTTTGGACAATCAAAGCAAAATTGTAAATACGTTCTGAAGAGAAGGGCAGACAATTTGCATTGCTAATCACTTTTTTTTTTTTTTTTTTTTTTTTACAGTGCCGACCAAATCTATGCTTTCCCCAAATTGACTCTGTATGCAGTCTCTCAGTTGTTCAACAATATAGATAACAACAGTAATGGTATAATTATAACTTACAGCAGAAGTAGATAAAAACCTGCTAGTTCTTAACCAGTGGTTGTAATTAAGAGTGGAGAAGGGTAATATTCACTTATTCTGCTTATGTTTCATTAATAAAGGGGGATTTTAAGTTCCAATACAGGAAAGCAGCTGCATGCTGCATCCCAGCCCTGACCATGTCCTGAAAGAAGACAATGAGTGAGCAATGCAACCCGATGTGTAGCAGCTGTAGGAAAAAAAATACCTCTGTAAGCAGAGGTTGAGCAGCAGCCATAGATATGGAATGCATTACGTGGAAAACAAGTGATCAGCACATAAGGCAGAGGTTATTTCCTGCGCCCCACGTGTCACCTTACTTTCGTTCAGATGGAGAACAAAGCATCGCTTCCTTTCCACTCTCTTCCCCTGCACAAGCATGGGAGCACACGTACGTTGGGTGTGCACCGCCAGGTAACCCACGGGAAAGCCGGACACGGCGAGCGCCGCCCCTCCCCGCCGCGGAGCCGTTTCAGCACCACGGGCGGCGGACAGCTCCCAGCCACGTGTTCAGTCCGCAACCTCAAAGCGCGCGGAGGGACCTCCAGGACGCTCCGGAGTAAGGCTCCAATCCTACATCCAAACCCTACATCGCACAGCAACATCACGCTAAAATGCCTCAACAAGATGCCCAGCAGCTGTTTCCTTGGAATACAGAGTCCCTGCATTCAGGGTGCGTGGCTCGTGCTTTCTGTAGTACCAAAGGAGTAAATCCAAAAGCTCAGAAATGAAGTGGGCACCGCTGGCACGTTTTGCTTACTTTAGCTCACTCACTCAATGCCGGTTGCTAAGCAAATTTTTTTTTCTTTAAGCTCCAAACTACTCACTGCCAGATGGATTAATGAAAACACATGCTTGCACTGCTCAACACACTTTTCATTTATATTTCTTGATAAACCGACACTACTTTTAATAATTTCTTTTAAAGGAATTCCACCTCTTAAAGTAAAGATGTAAATTCAAGTGAGGAGAGGAAAGCGGAGGAACAGAAAGAAGCTAAATGTAATCATCACATTTTCCAGTGGATTGCAGAAAAGAGGCACCTAGGGACTTGAGGGCCCTTGGGGACTTGTAGTAAAGACAGCACGCCTGGCTCAGCATAGAGATGTGAGGCACCAGGTGACCTGAAGGAATCTTGCTCTTAACTGGTTTATCTATTTATAACTACATGACATAGTATTATTACCTGTGACAGCACAAGACAACACAGGAGTATTTCAGCAGACCAATAACCACATGCAGCCTTGCACAATTTACACCTTACACACAGCATTGCTCTTTGTGTTTTCACTCCTCATTCCCTAGACCTAAGACCTGGTCTCTGACACTGTACTCCAGCCTGTGCCCTGAAATGTCACTAACTTACCACAGCTTGGTGTGTCTTTAAGAAGTCACCATCAGAGAGAAATAATGACCCGCTGCACAACGCAGCCAACTGTTCTGCCAATGGTACAACCAAACCACACATTACCCATTACCAAGGGTGTAATTACAGCAAGGATGACAGGAGGGGGAGGGGAATCCCCTCCATCACCTAACAGAGGAGAAAACACTTCTCTTTTCTGTCATCTCCAACTTTCAGCCAGCTGAAAGGGGAAGGAGGCACAGGGAGCCTGCAGCAAGGAAAGAAGCAACACCATGGCGGCTCTTTGCCCCTCTTAAGGAGCTGGCAAGAAGGAGCTGCACCAAAGCACACTGCACAGGGAGGCTGTTCCATCTGCTGCTGGGACACAAAGCTGCAGCAGGGCTTCCCAGCTATCAATCCTCCCTCACACCCTGGTGAACAGGGGAAGTTTGGTGCCGTACAGAAAGCCAACAGAAAGTACTTTCTTTTTCTTTGTGTTGCAGAACAAATCGGTTTGGGTGCAGTTTACTGTTGACACAGCCCGTAAGGGATGAAGAGGTCGGAGGAGGGGAACAGCAGGGCCTAGCACCTGGGACAAGCACCACGTGTGGTACGAGCTGGTGGGACAGCTGAAACCCAAGGTGCTATGAGGTGGCTGCGAGAAAGGGGCAGAGACCGAGGAGCAAGGAGGCTAGTCCTAAACCATACGAGTGGGGAAGAGGGAAGGAGGAAGCGAATTTGGGGAGCCAGAGGTAGACCGGCAAGCGGTGGAAGGCGCACAACTTGAGAGCGACGAAAAAGCAACGGCGAGACAATGGCAGATTTCAGGAGAGCAGGTGGGCAAGGCGGGGACGGCCGCCCTGGCACTTCGCAGGGCCAACCCCAGCACGAGGGAGCCGGGTGGGACGGGCAGCACGCGGGCAGCGGGCCGGGGGCCAAACGCAGGCCGTGGGGGACCGGGGGAGGCCGGGATGCGGCCGGCGGGCCCCGAAGGTGCGAAGCAGGGCCCGGCAGCGGCCCCGGGGTGCTCGGCGGACCCCCGCTCCCCGTCCCCAGCCCGCACCGGGCCGACTCTCACCTGCCTCGAGGTTGAAGGAGATGCGGGCCTCGGCGAGGTACGGAGTGTCGCTTTTGGAGCGGACGCGGCGGATGGGTCTGCGGTCGATGTCCTCCTCGGAAGATGCCGCCATTAATGTGGGCACGGTGAGCAGCGTGGCCCGGCGAGCTGGCGAGGGCGAGCGGCGGAACGGCGCGGGGCGGCCGGGCAGAGGAGGGGGCGGCGGGGGCGGGCGGGAGGGACGGAGGGAAAGCAGGCGGGGGGGGGTTGGGGGGGGAAGGGGGAGGGGAGGCGAGGACGGGGAAGGGAGAGAGGGAAAGGGAGAAAGGAGCGGAGGGAGGGAGAGAGGGAAAACCCGTCAAGGATCCGCGGACGGGAGCGCCGGCCCTGCCCGCTGCCCCTCCCGCCCCGGGGCGCCCGGCGCCGCCCGCCCCGCCCGGCGGAGGGCACGGCACGGGGCGCGGCCAGGCGGCCCTCGGAGCCCCGCGCCCGGCCGAGCTGCCCCCGCCGCCCAGGACCCGGCCCAGGTGCCCCCACAGCGGGGCTGCGGCCTGCCCCGCGCTCCCCGAGCCGCTCCGGGGATGGGGATGAGGTAAACCGCGGCCACGCGTTTAGAAGGGCCAACGAGAGGAGCCCGTGGCAGCACCTGTGTGTACGAGTCGCTGCGGCACGTGTTTGGGAGATTCGGATTGCTTAACAAGAAGGCGGTCGCTTAAGGTCGCTAATTTGTCACCGTCTCAGAGTCTTTTGCTCTGGTCAGCCTCAGCACCCAAGGGACACCGGCAGGTGCCCAGTGACTGCGGGCAGCCATAGAGTTTTGGGGATGCCTTTCTTGCTCATTCGTGCAGAATCAACACTTAGTTCTTTTGCCTATCAAACCTGCAGGGGGTTTGGAGCACGCTGGATGTTCTTTCTGTGGTTGTAAAGTCAGCTTAAGCCAAAGTTTGCCATTAGGACTTAATGGCTTTGTAAAAGTTTACAAGAACTTTTAGGTTTCTCGGTGACTGCAGTGGATAAGGTGTAAATATAGCTTGTTTGCAAAGCTATTCAGTTTGCTCTGACGTTACTGCCTTGCCCCAGCAAACATGGACAAAATCACTGGTCAGCACCTGCAATAAGATTCTTAGAAGGATCCGTACTCCTAAATACGTAGGGGCGTGCAGCAGAACAGATGTGACATCCCAGGATCTCTGGTGAACCACCACGCAACTGGTGAGCAAGGGGGTACTTACTTAAGGTGCTCTTACCTGTGTCAAGGTTGAAGCATATTCGAGCTTCTTCTAAGTACGGGGTGTCACTCTTAGACCGGAGTCTTCTGATGGGTCTGCGGTCTATGTCTTCCTCAGAAGATGCTGACATCAGCGTGGGCACAGTGAGCAGAGTTGCCCGACGAGCTGATAAGAAAGAATGAATGAAGAGGAGAATAGCAGGAGAAATGGAAATGGGGACAAAGAGGAAGAAAAAAAAAAAAAAAAAGAGAAGAAAAGAGAAATAAAATTGTTCAGTGGAAATTAGAATCTGCAGCGTGTGGTAGATGAGGGTGTGAAGTCCCTGCCTCATGTGCTGCAGAACTGAAGGGCTGATTCAAATGATGCCAAGATGAGGAAAAAATGATGCCTCAAAGACACAGCTAATAACTCTGTTTCTGACACAGACTGCCTGTTCACAGTTACTAATTTGGCTACTTAAACCATTCTTCACAACTTGTCCATAGCTGCAGTGCCTCCTTCTCTGAATATTGTTTTTCAGACCACGATGCCCAAGTAATGGGAGTTGCCAGGTGTTCGCTTAGTTTGCAGGACTTGGTGGAATCTGTGCCCTGGAGTGCGTGAGATGATACATAAAAACTAACCCCAAATTCAGTTTCTTGGTGTCTTAATTTTGTGCACTCAAATTGACAGCTAATTTTTGTTCTTAATCACTCCATGTCTTAGTGTCTTAATTGTGAAATGTGGAATTATCAGTTTCTTTCATGAGGGATTTTTTGAAAATATAAATTCATTAATGTTTGTAAAGTATTCATATACTTTGGTGAAGCACCAGTGAAAAGCCCACGAGGAAATGAATATTTCTATCTGCTGTATGGGCTTTAAATTGCTCGTTGCCATGCCTTAAAGGAGGAGAAAGCAAAATATTTAATATTAGTTCATTATGTGAGTACTGCCCACTGATGAAGCAAGTGGAAGGATAGTAAAAAAATTACTGTGTCATCATACAATTCGGAATTGAACCATAATACATATGGATTAGAAAACTGAATTAATGTTGCAGAGGCAACCTTCATTCTGGCATTGCGTAAGTATTCAGCACTTGACCTTATAGCCTTAATGATATCCCTTTAATGTAGGTGTTTTTAATGTAAAATGTAATTACGGGCGTCTGTTGAGCACATTTGGTGTCATGCCTATAAATTACAAATCACAAACAGAAGAGCTCCTATAAATATATCCACCTCAGCTCTGTAAGTAGATAGAGGTTATCACAAATGCTAGATTGGATCTGTCTGATCACTGAAAGCGTGAGTGCCATGCACAAGTACTTTGCCAGTATCTTCTTTTTTCCTTTACCTCGTACAGAGCTGGGAAGAGAATTTCTGCTTGAAACCCCTTCCTTGCCTTTCATGTGGGACTATTAACATTACAGTGGGACTCTGTAAGAGATTGCTCTCTCTTCAATAAGAAGGTGCAAAAAAAATCTAGGGCTTGAGAGTTTCACACCCTCAAATTCTATCTTTTTATTATGGCTTCAAGGTGGGCTTCAGAGGGTTTGATTCCGGTCTGCCATGCACATGCTCTCAAATCACACCTGGCATACCATTGTGCCCAGGCCTAGTCTAAAGCCTGGGTATTTCTTGCTGTTTGGGCATCACCTTTTTCAAGCCCATATCTCTTTTGTAAGCTACTGCACTAATAATGAGCTAATAATGAACTCTATTCTCCTGCTGGGGATGTAGAGCTGATGGTGACTAAGTGCAAACTCTGCAGCCTGGTAACTGTGATTCTTTCCTTAATTTTTTTTTTCTTTTTGAGAGTTCTAAATAATACCTGTCAGTTAGAAGCCTTCTGATGCCTAAAACCTGACTTAGGTGCTAGGAATGATAGCATGTAATTAGTACGATTTAACAAAAGCTGTCATGCTCTATTTTCCAATTTGCAGAGTCACATAGTTTACCAAACATGCAAATCTGTGCTGCTGGATGTAGTAGTTATTTCTGCTCTAACTTATTTGTTTTCTGGTTTTAAATAGATTCCTTTCAAGTTTTTGATCCTTTCTAACACAACATTTGAATGTGAAGTAAAACCAAAGGGCAAGAGTTGAAATTGATTTAATGGGGCCAGCTATTTAGATTAAGCTAAAGTAAACACTGCTACTAGACTGTAAACTATTACTCAGTTGTAACAGGGATGTACAGTAATGAAGATAAAAGAGAATAGAAAAACTCTGCAAGGGAGAATTTTGTCTATGGCATCATCAAATTTACACTTAAGGAAGATTTATCAGTATATGAAGTCAGAATTGTAAAAACCATCTCATAAAAGGAACATGTAAAAAAATTGTCATTCAAAGCTGGCATGCTTTAGCTATCGTTAAAGTCAGAGAAAAGGCATCCATGCATTTCAGGGGTGAATGGATGACAGCACAGGAGACCATGTAGGGAAAAAAAAAAAGTACCAAATTACATACACATTTCTTGTAAACAGAAATAAGAGTGGACTTTCCTATAGTCATTTATAGGTCATTTTTATTTTGGAGGTCAAAATATTGGGGTCTAGCATGTATTCATTTTGATTAGAGGTAGGTGGATGCAGGAAAATGTTTCTTGGATTAATCATTACATACTATTTTAACAACCATGATTATCTCCCCATTATCTCCCCTTTATGCATATCACCAACAGGAGTTTTCAAGAATGACTTGAAATTTCAAATAAGCACAGGAACATTTTAGAGGGAGTTAATTTGGAGTAAATATTTTTGCAACAGAAGCCTAAGATTGATTCTTACCCAACCATAGAAGTAGGAGATATGGTTGCACACATTCAAATATCCATTCAGTGGCACTGAATATGCATGTATGTCATGAGTACAGCTGTGCATGCTCTTTTCCTTACTGTGAATCATTGCACTCCATATTATGGAAATGACTTGCCACATATTTTTTGGTAAAGCTGACAGCATTTCTCCCATGTGACCACATGTCCAACACCAACAATCAGCCAGTGTCTCTAGCTTCAGATACTCTCCACAAATGAGCTCAGTGTCTGCTACGCATTTTTAGGGTATCACCCTACAGGAGAATTAGGAACTACACCCTTGAAGGTCTTGGAGTACGGGAATGGCGTTGTGATAAGGAGCCATTTTATACTGCAAATGGATTTGAGACCAGCATCCAAAAGCTCCTTTAAAACAATTCTACCTTGAGACAGAACACAGATTTTGGCTAAATTCTTTTGTTCTGCTTGATTGTTCCTGATATGACAGGAAAATCAGCACATTTTGCCAACATCGTGTCTGATATTTGTTAGAAAGGGAACAAAAACGGTTAGTTATGGAGGAAAAACACTTAAGAAATTGAGTAACATATGTAATGACATGTTAGAATTGATTATATATCATCTCATGTTTGTTTTTTTGACAATAGTGCATGTTATGGAAATGTGACACAAGTATGTGTTAGGAAGAGGGGAATGAGAAATGCATGAAGGATTATAGTGCAATTTCAGAGGCATTTGAAACATGTAATTTCAATTTGTGTAGTTACATTGAGAGGAGGTCCTAGTTTTGAAAACTGAAATCATTGAAAACAGGAGGGATGGTTTGCAAAGAATTTTTTGTGTTTTCCATTTTTTTCCCATGAAAATAAATTTTCACATACTTTAATGTAAATATAAGCATTAGTATTAATTTTTTTTTTTTTTTGCCAAAAGTCTAGCTTTATGTCTTGAAGAGCTATAATAATTGATTTTTTAAAGACTCACTTCTTTAGAAGAGCTTTCAGAGATGAAATCATTCTCCTAAAATGAGTCAAAGAAAATATGAAATATTCATCTAGATTTTCCCATCCACTTTTGTCAATTAACTTTCACTGAAATGTTAGAATATCTCAGTGGTGACTCAACTACCCTGGTCATTTTTGGTTTAATAGTGTCTTTAACTACAAAGTCTAATTTGCATCACTAATTCTTGCCTGTGAATTGCAAACAAAACTCTTGATTTTGATCCCACT